TGCACCCCTTGAGTTCATCTTGGTCTGAGTTTGCTCAGGCTGCCACAACCAAATGCCTTAGACTTGCTGGGTAATACACAGACATGCATTTCTCACCATTATATAGACTGAAGTCCCATCCAAAGTCACACGGGCACTCTGGACCGGCAGTACCTGCACTGGATGGTCATTTCCTCTGAGAGGTTTTTTGTATCTGTGCATAGAATCCCAGAGAAGGGCAAAAGAGTGGGGGAACTTTGGCCAGGGGGCAGGAAGGACCCTGCCTGGGCCCCTGTTGTTGTTGGTCGTGGACCTACTGAACAGGAAGTAGCTCAGCTAAGGTTGGGAACACAGATGGAGCGGCCAGAGCCCCGAGTCTGACTCGGTTTGTACAGACTGCATGCTGTCTTGAATAAGTAAGTCTCTTCATTTCTTTGCACTTTTGGGTGCATCTGTAAAGGACAATACTTCACAGGAGAAAGCACAAATTGCCAAAATGCTCTCAAATCATTTTGCACAGCGCCTGCTGTTCTAATTGTCACCACTGTTCTCGGGGCTAGAAGAGAAAAAAGTCAGTTGTCATACACTGGGCATCCAAACAGCATCTCACTGTGAGTCTCCAAATGCAGCCTTGCAGAGGGAGGGTTCATCTCAAACTCAATCGTGCTGACTCTGCCACAGGACTAGGTTCAAATGCTGGCTTCAGCCTTAGCTGGCGGGTGATTCATCCAGACTAGTTCCCTTTTCTGTTGGGACATGCTCACAGACTCGTCATTTTCTAGAAAATATCCGGTTCATGGCTTCTGCGATGGTCTTATCATCTGTCTAAGGGCCTCTGGGCACGGAGTTTTCATTTGCAAAATGGAGGATAATAATAATCCAAAGTTACCCAACACACTGAAGGTTGAGGCAGGAGAATCGTGGGTTCAGGATCAGCCTGGTCTACACAGTGAGAGAGACCCTGCCTCAGAACAATTTTTCTTCCAAGCGAACACAGAAAACCACCTGGTAAGAGTGAACGCTAGACAGGTAAGACATTTTTCTTTACCTCAGATATAAATTGATAATGTTGAGTTTCCTCAAAAGTAGAAGTCACAGCTGTCAATACATTTTATTTCATAAAATATATCCATCCTTTTCTAACCCTAGTAACAAGCCCAAGAGATGGGTGGAGCACTCATAATTTTTTTTAAATTTTTAACTTCAAACCCACCTAGTTTCAGATTTGAGTTGTCCACACAATTCCACATCAGATCCTATAGCTCTGATTCAAGAACGCGACACTAGAGGTCTCTGTGGGTCCTTCAATGAAATACTTTGCCTGTGTTTTGTTTTTAAAGGTTTGTGGTGTGAAAAAAGTGACAAGGGCTATGTATTTGAAAACACCAGGTTTTCACAGGTAGTTTTCTCACATCTTTGGGGGCAGACGGTATGGGCTCTGAAGCCACACTGTGAGTTCAAATCGCAACTCAGCCGCTTAGCCTGCGATCTCCAGGCCTAGATTGAGGACTAGACTAGATAACTATAACTACTGCTTAGTTATCCATCAGGGTGTGGATGACCCGAGGTCCTTAGACGGGGAGACCAGCGCAGAAGCAAGGAACCAGACATTTTCTAGAAAATGACGCGACCATGAAAAGGCCCCAACTGTCGTGTGTGCATTGGTGACACATCCCCTCACTGTGAGTCCCATGGAAGTGGAGACCCGGTCAGAGACTCTGGGGTTGGACCTGAGCGGCATGAACGCCAGCCCCAGAGCCAGGGAAGCCTTGGGACCTGCAGTTTGAATGACATCCGCGAGAGGTCGCTGTGGAGACACAGGCAGGCACTGCGAAGTGAAAGGCTCTTTGATCCTCTTGCCCAGGGTGGGAGAAGTTTGTCCTTTGGCTGGCAGACCCTCTACTTCACTGGAACTGCGTTCATCTCCCCCGCCCTTTGTCCTGATTATCATCTTTCCTTCCATTTACGGAGGCGACGATCCTAAGGAGAGACCAAGGGTTCCCAACCAGCGGTATCCAGAGATGGAGCCCATAGGATTGTTCCTAGACTAAGAGATGTCTGTAGGACCTGTTTGGGCGGCTCCCCGACAAGCAAGGCTAGCTCAGCAAGGATGTCTAGCCGCCTCGCCTACACCGCAGGAGGTCAGGAGTTCTAGCTCCCTCTTTGGGTTGAGTTGTCAGACCCTGAACCTTGGACCGAAGCTAGAAGACCTGAAACAGTGACGGGGACAGCCCAGAGGAAGTTCACCCTGCGCCTTGGCTAAAGAAAGGGCCAGGGGCGAGGAAATGAAGAAATTCACTCTTCATAAGATGTTGTAAACTGGTCCTCAGATACCCTCGGGTCTTTGGGTTGAAGGTTCTCATTTCAGACAATGACTTTGTGTTTGCTTATGTGCCTCACAGCTGACTTTGGGAGGTTTCGGGGCTGTGCTTGTTACAGAGGTGGCAGCTCTCTGTTCATAAGGATTGGGAGGCCCGCACCTGGAGTCTGACTCAGTGCTCAGAAAGAATTAAAAAGAGGAGGCACACAGGTCCCCACCCGTGTTCGGCGCTCCCTGGAGGACTTGTTCACCGTCTGCCCTTCAAGGAGGTGACCAAGGCCCACTCCTTATTCCTGGCTCCCATCATATCTAGAAGATTCTTGCCAGAGCTTCTGTGGTCACACATTTAATAACCCTCTGGCATCTCTTCGCCAGACAGTGACAGCAGTTAACACTTATCGCCTCACCTGAAGTGTGTGAAGGGAGCCAGCCTTCCCCAGCTTCCTCCACGCAGAGACACATGAAGCAGAAAAACCGTTTCCCAAGCACTACAGTAAGGTTAGCAAGTTCAGGACAAAGGTCAGATGCTTCCTGACTTGCCCAGACAGACTCAGTTCCTCCTCTAGCCAGGGTCTGTCTGTCCAAAGCCCATGTCCTTCTGCAACCATGATGCACCAGCACCCAGAACACTTGACTTCCAGTCTGGATTTGGCCACTTGCCAGCTTGGTGATACTGGATAAAAATTCAATTTCCTTAACTATAAAGTGGAAAGCGCACATCAGTAATGACTGTCTTCCTGAGTCATCTAAAAAAGATTAAAATGACATGCAAATGAAAGGTGCCCCCCAGAAGGACAGGCTCACTATCCAGTGGAAAGTGTGCTGGATGGGTTTCTGTGTCAGCCTCACCACGCTGGAGTCCTCAGAGAGGAATGAGCCTCGGATGAGGACATGTCTCCATGGCATCCAGCTGTAAGGCCTTTTCTCGGTTGGTGATCAATGAGGGAGAGCCCAGCCCAAGGTGGGTGGGGCCATCCCTGGGCTGCTGGTCCTGGGTTCTTTAAGAAAGCAGGCTGAACAAGCTCTGGGAAGTAAGCCAGTAAACAGTTTTCAACTTTGGCCTCTGCACCAGCTCCTGCCTCCAGGATCCTGTCCCGTTGGAGTTCCTGTCCTGACTTCCTTCAGCGATGGGCAGCAATGTGGAAAAATAAGCCCAATAAACCCTTTCCTCCCCAACTTACTTTATGGTCATGGTGTTGGGTCACAGCATTAGAAACCCTGACTAAGACAAATTGGTACCAGGAGTGAGGTGTTGCTGTGCCAGACCTAACCATGTTTTGGGAGGATTGTGGGAGGACTTTGGAACTTTGGGTCTAGAAGAACCATTGAGTGTTAAGAGTTCTGTGGAATCCTAGAAGAGAAAGTTGAGAGCAATGCAAAAGATGGAGGCCTGGCTTGTGAAATTTCAGAGGCAAGATTAAAGACTCTTATCAAAGTCCTTTGCTATTTTGAGTTGAGATACTGTGGTTCTGATTAGCAGAGGTTTGAAGAATCACCTGTGGTTAACAAGATACCAGAACTACTAACATGAAACCTTTGTCACTGGGACGATTCATGCTGGTTAGCTAGAGCTAAAAAATTAAGAAAACACCAACATCACTGAGGTGAAATCTGGGAAGTGTTTCCGGGGAGTGCTGAGAAGCTGTGTTCCAGAGGCAGCCAAGATTGTACCCGGTACTGGCAGCCAGACTTGGTATGTGTAAGAATCACTCAGGTGATTCTGGTTTTGAAGGCATGAAGGGGTCATGCAAAGAAGTTGAGGCTTGGCACCATGCTGAGCTCCTTGAGAGGCTATTGGTGAAAGTGCAGCCCAGTTACAACAGAAGACCCCACAGAGTGGAGCCAGCCAGAGCCTAGAACACACGCTGTGTGTGCTGCAGAGGGCGGAGCCAGAGAAGTGACCAAGCCCTTTGGAGGAGCCCAGAAGATTGTGAGTGAATCCCAGATAATTGGATATTGAGTTATTTCTACTGTTGGAGTTTATGTTTGCTTGGTTCAGATTGTGACGGTGCCCTAGTTCTTCCCTCTTGAAGAAGGTATTTAATTTTTTTTTTTTTTGAGGCAGGGTTTCTCTGAGGCTTTTGGAGGCTGTCCTGGAACTAGCTCTTGTAGAACAGGCTGGCCTCGAACTCACAGAGATCTGCCTGCCTCTGCCTCCTGAGTGCTGGGATTAAAGGCGTGCACCACCAACGCCCGGCTGAAGGTATTTAATTTTTAAAGGATCCCACAGATGGAAAACTTGAACTTTTAAGAGAAATTGGATATCTTAAAGAGATAGAAATTTGAATGTGTTTGAATTTTTAAAGACTTTTAAAATTATTTTATTTTAATGTGAGATCTTGGGGATGTGCATTAATAGCTATGTGTTTGTGTGTCACATTGACAAGGGGTCAGTTGTATTATTGACTGGTTTTGTGTCAACTTGATAGGAGCTAGAGTCATCAGAGAAAGGAGCCTCAGCTGAGGAAGCGCCTCCATGAGATGCAGCTATAAGGCCTTTTCTCAGTTAGTGATCAATGGGGGAGGGTCCAGCCCATGGTGGGTGTTGCCACCCCTGGCTGGTGGTTCTGGTTCTCTAAGAAAGCAGGCTGAGCAAGCCATGGGAAGCAAGTCAGTAAACAGCTCTCTGTCACCACCTCTGCATCAGCTCCTGACTCCAGGTTTTAGCCATGTTCCAGTTCCTGTCCCGACTTCCTTCAGTGGTCAAAAACTGTGGAACTGTGACCTGAGTAAACCCTTTCCTCCCCAACTTGCTTTATGGCCATGGTGTTGGGTCACAGCATTAGAAACCCTGGCTATGACGGTTATCAAAGGCAATATTTAACAGGTAACCAATCTCTCAGCTTATCTCTTGATAGCACTGGTGTAATATTATCCACACTCAGTTTATTTTTGCTATCTCTTACAAAGAGTTTTTCCTTTATTTCTTTGTGTACTTTTTATTATTATTTGGTTTATGTTTATTGGTGAGTTTGGACAGTAGGCATGCCTTTCCTCCATAATGTTGAATTTTTAAAAATTAAAAATTTGATTTTCTTAAGAACAATTGGTCTTTTGAGAGAAGGGTCAACTGAAGTACCCTCCCAGTAAAATGGACCCAGGCCAATCACATCTTCGATGGTCATGTGTTCTCAGCATCTGTAACATCAAGAGCATTTCAAGGGCAAATTTCAGACTTAAAGTCAGTTTCCTTAAGAAAAAGTTATTGGATCATAAAACAGAAAAATCCATGAAGCAGACCTCTAGGCATGGCATGATCCAGGTTCTCAACGGATGTGTTAAATGTTTTCTACATATCTTTCTGCCCACCTCTGTGTTGGCTTCATTTATGGGCAAAGTGCAAAAGTCCTTTATTTGCTGTGCCTGATACTCACTCAGTTCACCAGCAGAGGAGACGCAGCTTCCCTAGTGGCATTTCTCTAGGAGACAAGATGCTAGGGTGGCCTCCAAGATGTCCACACTATGGTGCATCTGCCGGTGTAACTTCTTGAGCGCAGAAAACCTGTGCCCAGAAGAGCTAGCACTCAGGTGCTTCCCTTGGGGTCCACAGTAAAAGGAGAGGTCACCTACAGTAGGTCTGGCCTAATCAGGCAAGCCCTTTCCAAGCAGACTTTTCTCCTGCTCGCAGAGTGCTGTGGCTGGCTTGGGGAAAACTGCTCGGAGGCCACATGTTGTGGAATATAAATTGAAGATGAGTTACATTTGTTTATGCCGTGGAACATTTGTTTAGTGATGCAAGGATGTGTTGCATTCTTTTATGTTGCATTTATTTAACTCTGTGAGGCTGTGTTACTTTGTCTGTCTAAAACGCCTGATTGGTCTAATGAAGGATGAATGGCCAATAGCTAGGCAGGAGAAAGGATAGGCGGGGCTGGCAAGCAGAGATAAATAGAAGGAGAAAAAGAGAAGAGGGAGAGAGGAGAAGAGAGAGGGCTTCAGGGGCCAGCCTCCCAGCCATACAGCAAACTGTGGGGTAAGAAATAAAGAAAGGTATATATAATAGAGAAAGATAAAAGCCCAGAGGCAAATGGTAAGCAAGATAATTAAGACAAGCTGACTTGTATAAGCCAAAATAAGGCCAGGCACTTATAAGTAAGAAAATGTCTCCAGGTATTTATCTGGGAGCTGGCGGCTGCCTCAAAGAGCAAAGAGAAGGAAAACACACACACACACACACACACACACACACACACACACACACACACACACACACACACACAGCTATATTGACAGGGACCTTGTTCTTGTAGTTGCAAGAAAAATTTCCAGACAGTGAATTAGGAGGAGCAGCTGGAGCTGCAGATCCAAACCACAGCCAAGCCAGCACCTTGGTCTTCTCCTGGTAAGTTCCCAGGCCCAGGGTCAGCACGCTGTGTCTGGACTTCTGCCCCCCATCACTGTAAGGTTCTAAGTCTGCTGTCTGGGGCACCAAGTTTGTGATAATACATTATGTGGCAATAGAAAGCTCACTTAACTTTTGAAAACCCCACCGTTGTTTGTTTTTATATTCTTTTTCCTCTTTGGGAGGCCTCCACCCGGCTCCCAAATAAGTCACACACAGGGGTTTATTATTACTTATAGATGCCTGGTCTTAGCTTGGCTTGCTTCTAGCCAGCTTTCTTAAATTATTCCATCTACCTTTTGCCTCTGGGCTTTTACCTTTCTCACTTCTCTAATCTTACTCTGTGACTGACTGGGTGGCTGGGTCCCTCTTTTCTCACTCTTTGATCTCTCCTCCTTTCTCTCCTATTTATTCTCTCTGCCTAGCAGCCCCATCTATCCTTTCTCTGGCCCAGCTATTGACCATTCAGTTTTTTATTAGACCAATCAGGTGTTTTAGACAGGCAAAATTACACAGCTTCACAGAGTTAAACAAAAGCAACATAAAAGAATGCAACACATCCTTGCATCATCAAAGCAAATGTTCCACAGCATAAACAAATGCAACACATCTTAAAATAATGTTCTACAACACCCCAACATGTAATTTAGAATCGTTTGGCTGCCAGCAACAGAAATCGAGTTTGGGGAACAAACAGAAAGCATGTACCCACAGTACCCACAGTAGTCAAACAGCACAGGCAACTCCTCAGGTGAATCCAAGCAGAATAATGAACTGGAGATATTTCCAGGCCACATTCCACTTTTAAGACTTTTTTTTTGTTTGGTTTTGCTTTTTTGAGACAGCCTTGTACCCTGGGCTAGTCCCCAACTTACTGTGTCGCTGAGGATAACCATGAGATTGCCATCCCTGTGCTGGAATTACAGGCCTGCGCCACTCTGCACAGCCAAGTTTAAATTCTAAGTAAACGGGCTGAGAAGACGGCTTAGCAGTTAGAGGAACTTCTGCCCTTCCGCAGGATTTGAGTTCAGTTCTAGCACCCATATCAAGCAGCTTACAATCATTGTACCTCTGGCTGTGTGGGATTCAACACCTCTGGTCTCTTCAGGCTCCCTGAACCACATAAACACCCCCCTACCCTACACACATCTACACATAATTAAAGAATTTCTTTTCAAGACAGGGTTTCTCTGTGTAGCTTTGTATATTTGCTGGTCTCCCTCAGCTAAGGACCGTGGATATAAACCTGGGTCAACATACGAGGGCAGGTGCTGGGCAGACTCTGGTGGAGAAGACTCAGGAGGGGTTGGTTGCTTCTGGAAACACCAGGACAGAAGAACCTTGGTGTTGGAGAACTCTAGTTTCCCCATACTTTAGGCAGCACATGATAGTACCTCATTGCGGTTTTAATGTGTCTTATTCATAATGTCAAACATCTTTTTATATATTTATTGGCCATTCACTTACCTTCTTTGGGAAACTGTGTATATAACCCCTTTGCCCATTTCCTTAGTGAGTTGGTTATCTTACTTTTGAGAAAGAGTTCTTTATATATTCTGGATTTAAATGTGTTTGCAAATAATTTTCTTTCCCTATGGCTTACTCTTGTTCTTTCCTGGTAGCGTCTTCAGTAAGCAGCTTTGATGAAATCCAGCTTAGTTTGTGAGATCAAACGTGACTGAGTGCGTACGGGGTAGTAGAGCTGATAATGTCATACATGCTGCTTAGTCATTTTTTTCTTCACAATGTTGGCTATCTGGCAGCGCTCTCTCGCATCCCTTATTTTATTTGTTCTAGCTTATTTTATATCGAGATACAGTTTTTGTGTCACCAATTCACTATCTTAACATGTGCACTTCAATGGTTTTTAGCATTTTCAATTCTGATACTGCATCTAATCCTAAAACATTTTCATCTTCTACGGAAACTTACACCAGCCATCAGTTAGTCCCATTGCCTGCTTTCCTTGGCTCCTGGCAACCACTAACTCACTTCCTCTACAGATTGCCTAGTCTGGCTATTTTATTAAATAGTCATACAACAAGTGGCTTTTTAGCCTGGTTTCTTTTACCCACACTTGAAGCAGTAGCATCCAACAGTATTTCATGTCTTTTTGTGGTTGTTATATCCTATTGTTTGAACCCACCTCGGCTGCCTGGCCATTGCTCTGCTGTGGCGAAATTGTTTCCAGTCTGGGGTCATTATACACGATGCTGCCAGGATCGTTTCCAGCATGCTTCTGTACAACATGTTTTAAATTCTTTAAGGTGTATACTTGGTAGAGTTTCTGGGTCATGTGGTAACTCTAACATTTTCAAGGAACTGTCAAATTGCTTTGCTCAGGGCCCTCTCCATTTTACATCTCCAATGGCAACAACGGTTTCTTCCCATCACACACAGCCTCATCAACACAGATACCTATTGTGCTGTCCTATTGCTTTGTGGCTTTATGAGTTCCCTAGTGACCAACAACACTGAAAGTCTTTCATGTGTTTATTGACTACTTGCCTATCTTCTCTGAAGAAATGTTGATTTAAACCGTTGGCTAATTTTTATCTTTTTTGACCTATTAAATTGGAGATTTACTTACATATTCTGAATACTAGACCATAATCAGTATATGATTTGCAAATACTTTCATTCATTCTGTGGGTTATTTTTTTGATTTGCTTCTTAGTTTCTTTTTGATGCTAAGACTTTAGAAATTTGATGTCTAATTTATGTATTTTGGTTTTGCCTTTTGTGCCTTTTGTAGTCTAGCTATTCTTACACATTAAGTATTTTTATATAAACTCAGGAAACAACCTATTTTGTTTTAAGAATTTGTTAACATGTTTTTAACATTTGCATGAGTGTGTATATGTGTATGTATGTGTGGTGGGTGTGGTGTATCTGTGTGTCTGTATGTGTGTGGTGTGTGGTCTGTACCTGTGTGTCTGTATGAATGTGTGTGTGACATCCATCTGTGTGTATGGTTTGTGTGTGTATGTGTGTAGCTCAGAGGACATCTTGCAAGAGTGAGTTCTCTTGTTCACCCTGAGGGCTCTGGGGATGGAATTCAGGTTATCATGATTGGAAGAAAGTACCTGAGCTACCTCTCTGCCTCCAGGTTTGATAACACTGTCTGTCAATGTGGTAGATTAATTTAGAAGTAACTGTGGACTTGAGATACTTTCTTTATCAAAGAAGAAAAGATCATCTTTCTTCCCACTTCCATAGTCCTTTCCACAGCTTTGGTCTTGTCTCGGAGTTACAGCCTTTAATCGTGCTTCTCAGTTTTAACTTTTGCTTTGTTTTGAGGCAGTCTTACTACATAGTACAGGTTGGGTTGATATTTACTATTAGTCCAGTCTGACCTCAGACTTGCAATCCTCCTGCCTCAGCCACCTGAGTGCTAAGATTACAGGCATGCACACTATACCTGACTTTTAATCTTTTTCTTATTGTAAATGACACCAACTATGAAATGCTGACAACTAGCGAAAGCATTTGACTTGGGTTTGGTGGCACATGCCAGTAATCGGACATCTCAAAGCTGAGGCAGGAGTGGAGTTCAAGACCAGCCTGGACTGAATAGTGAGATATTGTCTGGGGTGGGGGGTGTTTGAACACAATGTGAGCTATGGTATTTCATGGTATTTCACACTATTTACAGTCTGAATTGAGTTCAAGTTCAGAACTATGCCTCAAATATCCTGCTTTCTTTGCCCTTTGGATTAAGAAGTCTGAAATCTAGAGGTGCCGAGTGCTTCAGGCAAGGTCACACAGCACCCAGGGAAGTGGAAGTCCCCACATTTAGCCCACCCATGGATTGGGAGCTCTGTCCCCCTTCCAGCCTCCATAAGGGCCAGTGTTCTTACATGCCCTGGAAACTTAGATATGCCCAGGGTTCGACTTTGGCAGTCAGGGGTCAGATACAAAAGAATTTTAAAAATAAGTACATAAAACCACAGTCAAATAGAAGAAAAAGCAAAACTCAGGCAGATACATTCTTACACCCTAAAACCCCAAACCTCCAGAGCTTCCTGCCTATGAACCGAGAGGGGGAGTGCGAGTGTGTCTTGGCGTTACTGGCAGGTGCTGTCTCAAAGACCCACGATCCTCCACTTCCTGGGGTGGCAGCCACAGAACAAAGCCTGCAGAGACTTCAACACCTCCCTTTCTCCCATCATTCCAGGCACAGCCACCTCTGGGCACCATCCCGGGAAGTAGAAGATGAAGTGGAAAGCGTCTATTCTGGCTGGCATCCTCCAGGTGCACTTCCCGGGAGCAGGTAAGGGTGCTGTTTCCGTGGCCGGGCTCCTTTAGAGGCTCTTCGTGTGTGAGTGGCAGCAGATGGGTGCGGAGGACCTAGCGCCTCTGCTAAAGCCTGTCCTCCCAAAGTCAATGGGCGGAGGGGCAGGAGAGGGTTGGGTCCCACGCAGGCGCCTGTTTTGTGGCAGCGAAGCTGGGTGCTGGTTCAGAGCCCGCTGTTTGAAAACACAGCTGTAGATTGTCCAGTGATGAAGGAAGAGGAGAGAGTCTGTGGAGGGAAGGGTGAGGAGAAATGGAGCAAAAAGAGCTACCAAGGCAGGCAGCTCGGCGCCGAGAGGCAGCATGTAGACCAAAGCCGTGCAGGTTCGGATACACCAGCCAGGCCACGCTCTGTTCTGCCTTCCAGATATCATGTCTACTTCCTTCCCCCTTGGGTTGGCATTGCCACTCTGCCCCATTCTTTCCTACTTTGCCGACAAATGACATTACCATGGTCAGTCGGGGGGGGGTCGTGACCTGTGGCCCTGGATGCCCTGAAATACCTTGTAAGGGTCGAACCAAGAGGACTCGATGGAGGGAAGTGTACGGAGTTTGCGACCTTTCGCAAGGTGCATTGCCACTTTCTGGCCCACAGGCTTAAGTCTAAGCTCACCCTGTAGTGCTGTCCCCACACTATGGCCACCAGCCCTATGATGCACCCATCTCTGCCTCAGTGACGCTCACACGGCACTCTGTCTGACCCAAGCAGCCAGAGGCACTGACAGAAGTCGGGAGAAGGTGGAAGAGCGGGCAAGCGAGCGTGTGCTATCATGACCAGCCCAGAGGAGAGTTTGTTTGCGCCTGTGCTCATTACAGTCCTCCGAGGCCTACTTTTCTGCATGTTGTAGTCTTGGTGTACTTCCTAGTTCAGACACTGGGGGTGAAAGCAAGCGAACAGAAGACAAGCTGGGCCACTCACAAGATTGGTGTCATGGTGTCTTCGTTTTGTTTTGTTTTTGTTTTCTCCAACAAAGAGGACAGTCTGTGTTTGAACCTAGAGAAACAGGAATGGTAGCTGTAAGCATCCTCCCTCCACTTCATAACTCGCCTCAGGATGGTAGCTTGTTGAGGGGCAAGGCTGGGAAGGCAGGAACCGTCAGCAACATGGTTGTGACCACCAGGGAAGGCACAAGACTCGGCAGCGCTGGGCTGGCACCTCGGGGGCTGTGAGGATTCAGCAATCCACCCTTCTATATGACCATAGTGCTTTTCTCCGAAACGGCCTGGCGGGCATGACTCACAGGGTGCTGTCGGGTAACAGCTCTGGAGGGAGCCCACAGCAGTCCTTCCTCACAGGCAGGGGCACACCTTCACAGCCTGAGGGGTTGGTTTTCTGACTTCAGGGGCAGCTGCTGCAGGCAATAGCTCTGGATTTGTGGCAGCAGGCTCCCAAGAGACAGGGGAGGAGAGGGTCAGATTTCTCCACTTTTTTCTGCTCCTCGCTGATCCGTGTATGGCAGGCTCTGGAGCTCAAGTGCAAGTTTAGGGGAGTTAAGGAGAGAATTAAAGGGTGCTGGGTTGGTGGTGGCTTCCAAGACCAGTAAACAAACCCCACCCAGAGGCCAGGAGGCCTGTGGCCATTTCCACCAAAACCAAGGAGGCCTGTGCCTTTCCTATGTGTTTCTTTGGGAAAGCCCAGCCACTGGGGCTAAGCCAGTATTAAACTAATCCGCATGACCACGTCCAAGCCTGAGGCAGGAAGGACTAAGATGGAGTCTGGGAGGCGCAGAACATGTCTGTCTGCCAACCCTCAGCTTCTGGGTACTTCTAACTGCCCCCCATGGCTAAGGATAAACCCAGTGGTCAGAACAGTCTTTGTCCACTCTCCAGTGAGGGAAAGCATCTCTGGTGTGAAGCCTCAGGGTCTGTGAGACACTCTGCTTCTAAGAAGGCCGCAGGCAGGGCAAGTCAATCATAGCACTTCCTAGTAGCATGGCCCTAAGCAACCTAGTGGATCTTGATGGTCCTGGGTGACATTAGGTTTCCTCTAAAGCAAAGATACTAACGCATTCCTTGCAGAGATGTGAAGGCAAGATGTGAATGTAACACTTCATAAATAGAGATACATGCGTATATGTATATGCACACATTCACACATAAAGGAAAATCAATAGACAGAAATCGAACTAATTATTAGGAACAGGAGATGGAAGCCTGTGGCTGAGATTCTTAACTCATAAAGCAGCAAGCATCATCTTCTCCTGATAGTATGCAACTCGCCCCTTCTCTGAATTCTGGGCACACTAACCCCAGCACAGAAAACCAGCAGTGGGTCCCGTGGCAAATGCGGATCAAAACTTGGAATGGACAGAAGATGAGCATTGCATCTACCATTTCAGTATCTTTAGAACACGGTGTAGGAAAGTGTTCCTTCAAAGTGAAAACAAGACTGAAAATAAAGAAAGAAGGCAGGGGGTGGGTGGGGTGCAGTAGGGTGTATTCAAAGCAAAATGCACCTGGCCATCACGTTTAGGGTGGCCATCCAGATCAGTGTGGGTGTGGCATGGGTGTACACTGACTAGGGATTTATGTACAAACATCTTAAACACCAAATCTTGGTTGACACTTCTGGAAATGGACTAGAAGGAAACAAAGTGATGGCGTTGCTAGTGTCCCACAGATGGCATTTTCCCCGCTGCTTTGTTTTGTCCTGCAGCCCCTGACCCTGTTTCCAAGTCCTTGGTTTCATTTCCCTACTTCAGCCCTGCTCAGACTCTGGAGACTAGACACTACAGTTGTTGCCACAAAATGCCTCCACTAACAGTCCTAAGACTTTAGCCCAGCTTTGTTAAACCACTCTATTCATTCAGCATTGTTTAGTTTTGCTTTTGTTTTTTAAGAAATAAGACTAGCTGGGCATGGTGGCGTGCACGTTTTTAATTGCGGCACTTGGGAGGCAGAGACAGGTGCGTCTCTGAGTTCCAGGTCAGCCTGGGTTATATAATGAGACACTGTATAAAGATAAATAAATAAAAATAAGATTTAATTTTCATTGAATATAAACCTTTTCTTTCACAAGTCACCCAGCATGTATGTGTCTTATATTTTATCTAGTTGGTTCTAGGCATCACAGAGAATTGCTTTAGATTCAATTAGTATAGGCACACAATTTGATGATACCCTTTCTCCCCTTGCTTTTATATCTATAGGTTGGGTAACTGATTAAATAAAGGTCAGAAATAGTTCAGACTGATTTTTTAGACTTGAGACAAAGTTACTGCTTCTTTACGACAAAATGATGGTAGCTAAAATAGGAACAAATATCAGTGAATTTGGTTGAAAAACCAAGTCATTTGACCTGTTAGCTGAAACAAGTCATTTTGCATTGTGTGTGGATAGTGACCACAGTCCCCGAAGAGAGAGATACCCTTGTTTGCTCTCGGATACATTCTCAGTGTTCAGCACAGTATTTAGGACAGAGTCAACGCACAATATATATCCCAGTGTTTAGTTTTGGGGATGAATTAAAGGTGAGTGAGTAAAGGGAATCTAGACGTTTTCACACAATTAACCTTAATGATTTATTGGATTGGCATCATTTGGGTCTTTCAACACTTTAGTAGTAAACTGTGACTGTTAAAAACAAAACTGAATTAAAAAGTCATGAATTAAAGGGGCAAGGGAACAGAATAATCCATCATGAGTTACAAAGTTAAAGTGGTCATGCTTAACCTTATGAAATTCTGCTATTGAGTTTTGTTTTGCTTTGGGGGTACAAGAAGCACCTCATGCATGCCAGGTAAACATTCTACCACTGAGTTGTATCTGCAGACCTCTTTTTTTTTTCTTTTTTTTTTTTTTTTTTTTTTTTTGCGGTGGGACCGGCTCAGTCTGCTGCACTAGAACTCATTTTATAGTCCAGGTTGAACTTGAACTTGCAATGTTCCCACCTTGGCCTCCTGGTAGTTAGAATTACAGGCCTGTGTTGTCGACCCAGATATTTATTATGTTCGTTTCAAACGACTAAACCAATAGTCTATCATAAAACCTAGCAAATGCACTCTTTTCCTGCTTCTGCTCTAATACTGGGGAAAAGCAGTTGATCACTGCTGGAGAAGGATGGTTAATGAACTAATAAGGCAATGACGGTATCCCAGGAATAGAACATTCTGTGGATTATAGCATGAATCACTGTCCAGTGTGACTTCCATGTGTGGTCTTCATGACCACTCTGCAAATTCATGCACCATGCTTTTTCCGGTATTTCCTTCCTGGTGACATTTAGGCTGTTTCTAATGCTTGTTGTTTTCAGGGAAAATATACATGTAGCTTTCTTTATGGGGGCGGTGCAAATTCAGGACTGACGATTAAAAGAACAGGTCAAAATAAAAGCATTTCACAGTGGACTCTAGACTCAATAATCCTCTTGAGAAAAGAATGTGACTTCTCTCCGTGACCGTCTGCACACGGTTGTGTCGTGCTGGAGCGGGCTGTGTGGCGAGGAGAGAGAACTCTAGGAAGAAAGAACTGGATGGGACTTAGGGCTCTTCCAAGGCCTCTGTCAGTTGGCGAGTAGACCACCTCCTTCCTAAGATGGCGGGGATGGTGTTCTCCTCACAGAGTGGAGATATGTTCAGGGTGGCCAGGCTCAGGGTGCTTGGGCAGTGTGTTTGTTTCCTAGTCTTCAGGATAGAATATTGTTTTCCCAGTGCAGCAAAGCAGGAACACAGCTCGAGTGTACTTTTTTTCTTCCTCTCACTAACTGTAGGGTAAAGTTGGGCAGAAATGTCTCTGTGCGCCTTAATTTCCCACGTGTGCAATGAGGAATGGCGAGAAAGCTGAAGGCTCCCTTGGGCTACAAAGTGAATGGCCTATGGCCAGACGCTGCAAAGGCGTCAGGAAGACTTTTCCACCTATCCCTCTAGTCTCACCCGCACCCTACCTCACTGGTACTGCCTCTCGGAATTTGAAAAATAACCTCTTTTTCTACCCAGAACTCTAAATGCTGCTTCTGGTTGGGACCCCCACCCTCTCACATTG